GTCTTCTCCCCTGAAAGTTCTCAGGAGACAGTTTCCCCAATTATGATCCATATTGTCTTTGAGCACTTTCCTTGGTCATCAGATGAGCTCCCAGGTACCCCCATTTTGAATGGTGCGCTGTTTCCTGTGTGTTCACATCCTGGCTGCTTGGAGGGCCATGTTGGTGTCATTTCGAGCCTGAAACAGCAGCACCCCGAGCACCACCAGGACCAAACCAGCCACGCCCATCTGGATGAGATTCTCCACTGTGTAGTCTTGGGGAGGGGAAAAGAAGAGTGGTAGTTAAGGAAGTCTAAGAGGTCAGGGCAGACCCAAATCTCTGGGATTCTAGTGTCTTCCCTAGGCTCCCACTTCCCCTTCACATCAGCATTCCAGTGGCTCCTGAACTCTGCACCTGCTCTGAGTCACCTTGTAAGAGCTGTCTCCAGGAACTGAGGATGAGAAAGGATGTGATGAAAATTCAGGTATAACTAAGAGCTGTGTGTTCTGTGTTTAGCCTGAGCCTCAAGGCCCCACGAGCTTATTCCCCTACAGCTGAGATATCCCCATTCTCAACAGCTGGGGACCCAGGGTCCATGGAGGAGGGATGGTGACAGGGGCTCTTGAATCTCAGGAGCATGAAGGGGTGAAAGTCTCGGCTGGATATTTTTCACCACCCCACCCAGGCCCCTCTTCTCGGAGGTCCGCATTTTCATCCCCAACTGTAATTGTTTATCTATTTATTCTCCTCTTATTAATAACATATTTATTTATTTGTTAAAATATTTTAATTGGTCTCAGAGAGGAAGAGAGAGGCAGAGATAGATAGAAACATCCATGATGAGAGAGAACCATTGATTGGCTGCCTCCTGCTCACCCCCTACTGCGGACTGAGCCTGCAACCCTATTATGTGCCCTTGGCCAAAATATTGGACCCTGTATTCTATAGGCGTAAGTTTTATTCGGGGAAGCTGTGGCCCATTTAGTCAGTCATTCCATCCTGTGGGATGTGGAGTGAGAAAAGTAGGTCTGCCATCAGGAATAAAGAAGTGGCATTCCCATTTCTGCTGGGGATTATCATTTTATATCAGAGGATCAACTGAAAAGCAGCCCACAGAGAGAGAGTCTTTGGGAGGCTAACAGGTCATGACATAAATGTGTCCAAACAAGAACTTTCCTATGTGCACTCACTACCATTTAGAAAACCTACAGGAATCACACCGCTTACTCACAAATTACAATGTTAGGTGTGCAATTCTCTAAGTGGGCTGTGCATTTACTCAATTGTGCAAATAGTTGTCACATGCTTCTAAGGTTCATGAATAAAGCTAATTTGAAAATGTGTGTGAAAAGAAGCCTATATAAATAAGAAGTTATTCTCCATAGCAAATGTCTGGTACTAATGCTCTCCCAACGAAAAGTGTAATGGAATGTTCATATTTCTCTCTGGGCTCCATATAATGTAAGTTAAATTGTGAGCTCATAGACTGAAGTATGGTCTGATGGTTCCCTAAAAGGAGCCATAATAAACCCATGTGCGCAGAAACCCTGAGCAGAGGTGGATGAACAGAGTGTGGGCAAGAGGCCCCAGGTCCCATGACCTCAGGGCCCCCAATGGACACCTAGCACAGCCATTTTGGGGCCCAAAAAACAGATGGGGATACAGAGGGGTCAGTCCTCACCTGTGACCTCAATGTGCAGAGGGGCACTGGGCTGTGACCACACGTAAAGGGACGAGCTGGAACGATAGCACCTATAGGTACCCCCATGGGAGGGTCTCACGGGGCCCAGAGGGAAGATGGCCCACCACCTCCCAGCATCCATCTTCGGTTCTGCTTCCATAGGTCGGGGTGGGTCAACCTCTCCCTCCTTCAGCAGATGGAAAGGGCCCGATATGAGGTTAGAGCTACAGGAGAGGGACACGTTCTCTCCTGAGGCCACCACAGGACCTGGCCGGGCTGAGAGGGAGGGTGCATCACCCACTCCTGAGGGAGGAGAAAAGGGACAGTCACCCTCAGGCCCCAGGTGTGTGCTGTGAGGGGTGGGGTCCCCCTAAGGCCAAACTTTCCTCCCTCTGCCTGTGACCTGGAGCCCACAGTGAAGAGGGGACCCAGTGTCTCCCTTACCTGTCACCACCAGGAGCAGGGGGTCACTCCGCTCTGAGAGTGTGTCCCCAGCGGTGAAATATGCACACTGGTACTGCCCTGCATGGGATGAAGTCATGGCTTCAATGAGGAAACTGGCCGTGTTGCTGGAGTTCTGTGCTATCCTCGTTTCCCAGGCTTCAGAGCCCCTCTCTTTGTACAGAAGGTAGGCACTAGCCTGCAGAGATCCCTGACACCAGATGGTCACAGAACTCCCGTTGGTGACGATGGGGCTTGGGTCAGCCCAGATAGACGGTCTGGGGATGTCTCCTGGAAAGGAATCAGACATGAAATGTCTGGGAGTCCTTCTCCCCACTTTTCCCAGCTGTCACTCCTAGTCCCCCCCCCCCCCCAGATTGGTCACCATTATTCCAAACCTAGTTTCTCCCCAGCTGCCCAGAAATGTTTTTGCTGAAGCAAGAGTTTGGAGGTGTGGGATGGGGGGACTCACTTGCCTGTACCTGGTTCCATGGGCCCTGACATAGTCCTGGAAGAGAAACCCTGTGAGAATCGTCCGCAAGCACACATAGAAGCTCCAGGCCTGGTGTGGGCCCCTGAGCACTGGGGACAGACCTGGAGCTGAGTACGTCTCCTCCCCCCGAAGGCCAGTCCCCACTGAGCCTCCTGGGTCCTGAGGTCTCACAAGACCAGGACCTGGGAGGGGAAAGGACCCCATCCCTCCTCCTTTCCCCACCAACTCACCAAGACCCAGGAGGACAATGAAGGTGAAGGCTGTGGTGCTGTCTGCCATGGTCCCCAGTGGCACTGATGATGGATAAAGACCCCAGAGCTCAGCAGGACAAGCAGATGCAGGGATGTGACAGGGTCCCGGCTCCAGGTGACAGGTCCCTGTTTCCTCATCAGCCTCACTCTGCTCTACCTGAAGGCTGACTGAGGACACAGCAGGTCCAGGAACCTACAGGACCAGATCTGAGTCTCAGCAGAACCCCCACACTCTGCTTCCACCTCCTGTCTAACCCCAATCCAGAAGGTGACCCTGGTCCTAGTACTGATGGTGCAGGGCCCAAGCCAGAGCAGAAGGAATCACCAGATCCTGCCTCTCACAGAGTCTATGTGATCTTGGGAGTTCCCTTCTCTTTGCAGAGACTCCACCCATGCTCCGTTTTCTCCCTTCCCTTCACCATTCCCTCAGCCCAGTGATGGCTACCTAGCTGTTAATCCCAGCTCCCAACCTATCCTTTCCCCAAATCTCACATACTCCGCCTCCACTTGGAAATCTGCATCTGCAGTTCACACGGGAGGCCGCATGGAAGGACTGCAGGAAGAGGAGCACAGCAGCGTGGCGCACACCTGGTCAGCCTCAGCCTTGTAGGGCTTTCTAGGCTCCTGGGGGCCTGCAGGTGGGTCAGTGAGGCCAGAGGCGGGGAGGGGGAGGGAGGAGAGCTGCTGTAGGGCCACCCTGGTAGCTGCTGCCCAACACTCACTTAAAGCGTCCTCTTGCCTCTGTTTTGTTCTAAGTTCACACATTTATTATTGAGAAGTCTTGCTCTGATTTAAAAATGTAGGCGTATGGTTATAGAACCAGTGACTCTCAAAGAGTGCCAGGATTGGCCGGGTCCACATCTGGTCTCCAGGCTGCTGTGGTCAGGAGGCCTCACCCTACAGCTCTGGCCCTAAGCCAGGCGTGGGCTTCTGTTTGATGTATGTGCAATGACCAGGGGTTTTTACTGTGCTGTCAGGGGGGTGAGGAAGACATCGTTCTGCTTCCCCTTGGTCTAAAATGGAAAGTCTGAAATGCAATTGGTTTGTAGATATTAATGGTATATCTAGTAACATTGGATACATTCTTTTCAAATTAGAATAATAGATCTTTATACTTTTTAGATTTTGTGTGTATGTACATGTCCATATATGTATGTGTGTGTATGTTGGTGTATATGTCCATGTGCACCCATGGATATGTCTGTATATGTTTGTGTATATGTCCGTGTGTGCCCATGTGTATGTCCAGGTATATATGTGTATGTATTTCATACATGCATGTATATATATGTGTGTATTTCATACATATAAGTGTTCAGAAGCATTTAGCAGAGAAATGTTCTCAACTATAATTACTTTGCAGGAAAGTTTAAAATATATATATATATATATATTTATTGTTTTCAGAGAGGAATGAAGAGAGAGAGAGAGACACAGAGAGAGAGAGAGAGAGAGAGAGAGAGAGATACAGACATTAATGATGAGAATCACCTCTGGAGATCGTGCCCGAAACCCAGGCCTGTGCCCTTGACTGGAACAGAACCTGAGACCCTACAATCCACAGCCCAATGCTCTTTCCACTGAGACACACCAGCCAGGGTTGCAGGAAAATTTTTAATTCCAGCTTCAATGTATTTAACAAACATGACAGTTCCAAGTTTCATAGTTCACCCAGATAAGTGAAATCATGCGGTTCTTGTCGTTTTCTGTGTGAGTTTCCTCACTTAGCGGGATGCTCTCCAGATCCATCCATGTTGTGGCAAATTGCAGTATTTCATGTTTTATGACTGAGAAATATTCTGTTTGTATAGTTACTACGTCTTTACCCCATTATCAGTTCAAGGACACGTAGGTTGTTTCTCTGTTCCATTTCATAGGTTTGATGTATATTTACATTGTCATTCACTTAAAACATTCACTCACTTGTGTTTTGTGCTAAGTTCATGCATTGATTATTGAGAAGTCTTGCTTTGATTCCAAAATGTAGGCATATTGCTTATAGAACCAGGTGACTCCCAGAGGGTGCCAGGAACAGCCGTGGGAGCACATCTGGACTCCAAGCTGGCTGGGGTCACTAGCCGAGTATCCCTGGAGGAAGTACCCATGGCTTCTGGGGTCCCGCAGGCCGCTCCCTGGAGTGTGCAGTTTGGGTCCTTAGTGGAAGGCTAGAGCAGCGTACAAGCTGGGCTCCTCTGATGGGGAGGATGAAGGTGCACTTGTCTGCTGTGCAATGGCCAAGAGGTTCAGCTGGGCGTAGGTCACATCCTGGGAGTTGTCAGGTGCAGCCTGCAGCAGGGGAAGAGAGAGAGAGAGAGAGAAAGAGAGAAATGACACTTGGTTGGGGTTTGGGAAACCTGGAGGTCTGTAGAGACTGGGACTCACCAGACTGTCCATCTGTCTGTCCTCTTCTGCTTGTCTGCCCTTTGTGTCCAGCACTTCCCCTAACAGGGAGGAAGGAGAGGCAGCCGTTCCCTGCGTGGGTCTTGGTCTTGAGCGGTTCACCTGGGCATACGTCACTCCCTGGTGGTCTTCATCCTGCCCGTTCTGCTGAAGACAGTGCCTCCTGTCAATCATCCTCATGTTGCCAGGGAGATGGCTTACACTTCAAATAGACCAAGTCCTTCTGCTGGTGGAACCTGCAGGGCCTTCCTAAGACCTGGGGCCTCTGGTTCTGACTCTCATCCTAACGCGCTCTCTCTTGCGCACTGGGCTCCAGCCTCATGGTCCCTCCTCCTGAAGAAGCAGGCCCTGCCCCAGGACCTCTGCACCCGCTCTTTTCCTGTCCCCCCATAATGCACTTTATCCCCTCCTCTAGCTTTATGTTCCTTCACAGCACTGTGCTCTCTGGAACACTGTCTGCTTGTTTGCATATTATCTCCCTCACCCACCAGTGAGCTCGAGGCGTGTGGACACAGTGTGGCTCAGGACGCCACCGTGGCCCCTAAATGGAGCCGGTAAACAGGGAGCCCCTCACATCTGCTGGGTGAATGAATGAAGGGGTCCTGGGGACCTGTGGTGAGTCACTCACTCCTGCCTCCTCCTGAGACCTGGGGCTGCACAAGGTCAAACAGAGGATGAGGGGCGAGCAAAGGGGGCCCTGTAGTTGGGGCTATGGAGTCATAAGGTACCCAGCAGGACAACCTGAAGGCCCAGAGAGGATGCTGCTGAGAAGCAGGTGAGGTGGGACAGGGAAGGGTCCACTGGATTAAACTGGGAAACAGAAGGTCCTTGGTGGCCTGGACAGGCGGAGGGGTCTCACCTGAGGGTCCAGCTCCACTCTCTCCCCAGGCTGCGAGTCCTTCACAGAGGCATCTGCTGGGGAAGAACAGGGGGTGTCTCCTGGCAGGTCCCCGAGATCTCAGGGCTGCAGACCTCGCCTACTCCCAGATGAGCCACAAACCCAGGGTGAGGTGAGGCACCAGGTCACACAGCGTGGGTCTCAGTTCTTCTCTCCCTGATCCCCATTCTCCCAGCCTAACCCTCCCCATCCCCTCCTGAAATCCCAGTGCCCCTCCCCCAGGGCAGCTGTCTCTTCCTCTCACAGAGGGGCTCCTGCTGGGTGTCAACAGCGGGGCAGCAGCTGGGGGTGGAGCCAGGAGAGTTAGGAGTGTGTGTGTGTGTGTGTGGGAGGGGGGAGGTTAGGGAAAGCCTGGGGTCCTTGGGGAAGGCTGACACTCTATCTGAGCCAAACCAGCTAGGGCTCCACATTTCCTGATTTGAGGTTCCAGAGAAATCCACTCAGCTGACCTTCCCCAGCTGTTTGGCTTTCCTGTGGCAGGTGCTCTGAGGCCCCTCCTGTGACCCAGGTCATCCCTACTCACCAGATGTCCTGCCTCTGCTCTGACGCCGGAATCGGAGGAAGAGGAAGAGAAGGAGGGAGAGCAGCAGGACCAGGGCCACTGAGACCCCGATCAGGACGATCAGGTTCCAGTTGAGATCTTGAACACAAGTGATGTCATGAATGAGCCAATGAGGTAATAAATGAGCACCTACTGTGTGTGAGCCCCATGCTGGGTCTGTCATTCATCTCTTCTAACCTCACAGCAGTCAGGTGACAGGGATTGCGTACCCCACCACCTACTTCACTGAGGCTCAGAAAGGTTAATTACATGCCTCATGTTACCCAGCCTGGGCGGGGCAGCCTGGGACTGGAACCTGGGACAGGGGGATCCCTGTGTGTTGTTGTTACTATTATTATTGATTTAATCCTAACCCAAGGATATTTTTTCCATTGATCTTTAGAGAGACAGTAGAAGTCAGGCAGGGGGCGGGAAGAGAGAGAGAAAGAGAGAGAGAGAGAGAGAAACATTGATGTAAGACAGACAAATTGACTGGTTGCCTCCCACATGTGCCCTGACCAGGGTGGGAGATCAAATCTTCAACTAAAGTTTGTGCCCTTGACCAGGGTCCAAGCCTGACATGCTTTAGTCTGAGGGCTGATGTTCTAATGGGAGGAGCAAAACTGGTTAGGGTATTATTACTATTGTTGTTATTGTTATTGTTATCAGTATTATTCATGCTGTCCCTGTACCTGCAGGTAGACCCACCCTCTCCATATCAGCCCAGATCCCTGTCCCAGTCTGCAGCCTGACTGCCCTCCCGCCTCCCACAGGGGCGGGAGTATGCACATGGGACGCCTCTGGGATGGGCAGGAGGGAGGGCTGGTCCTTCCTGAACTCTAACCAGGCCAGGCTGCGTGCTGAGGGCCTTCCCTTTGGGGGAGGTGGGGCCTGACCCACAGCCCCTGGACCAGGACTCAGAGCAACAGACATGTCCCAGGTCCCACAGGCGGGCGGGAGCAGAGCCGGGACTTGGACCCAGGCTGAGGCTTCTCCTCCTGACTCCACGGCTGCTCCTTGGAATCCTTGGAAGGCTGTGGAGGAGGCTCAGACACCACCTGAGTCTGCAACACACACACACACACACACACACACACACACACACACACATACACACACCACACACAGATACACACACACACACACACACACACACACACACACACCACACAGATACACAGACACACAGAGATACACACACACACACACACACACACCACACACACACATATACATGCACACACAGACACGAGCACACTAAGTATTCAGCCTTCGGAGAACTTGGTCCCAGTGAGAAGGAGGAAGTCTCCTCAGGCCATTACCCAGGAAGTGGCTGAGCCAAGACCAACACTGAGCTCCTCCCACCCACCACCTCCCCCCAGACCCTCACTTAGTCCTCTGAGGTCTGACCTCCCATCGGGGACCCATCCTCAGAGGCTGCTAAAGCAGGAAGGGAGGAGAGGGGTGGGGCTGCTCCTCCCTGGAGGTCCCCCAGCATCTCCATCCCCCAACCCCTCTGGGAGACAGGCCGAGCCCAGCAGGGGTCCTGCTCTCTGTGGGGATCCGGCCTCAGCAGCTCACACTCCTGTCTTGGTCTCTGGCTGAGGCCATAGGACTGGGGATGAGGGTAGAAATGGGCGCCCGGGCCTTTGCTTCTGGTCAGCCCCATCCTCGCCAGCCTCCCTCTGCCAAAAGGGGCATGTCTGGGCCTCAGGGAGGAGGATGAGGATGAGGCAGAGATGGGAGCAGCTCTGGCTCTTTCGATTCCCCTAGGAGGTGAGAGTCACCTCTGGGTGACTCTCCACCTGGTACTCCCTCAGCCCATTGCAGCCCAAGGTCCCCTGGGGACAGGCCCTGACTGACCTGAGGACACAGGCGTGGGGCTGGGGCTCCTCACCTGAAACCACCAGCTGCAGGGGGTCGCTGGGCTGTGACAGCAGGTAGGGGGTGGAGCTGTTGGAGCCATAGCACCTGTAGGTCCCCTGGTGGCCTGAGCTCACAGGACTGAGGGTGAAGGTGGCCTGAGAGGGTACAGACATGTTCTGCAGACGAAGGTGCTGGGGAGGGTCCAGTGACTCCTCCCTGTGCAGGTGGAAGGTGTCAAACCAGCTCTCAGCCCCACACTGCAGGGTCACGGTTGCTCCCCTGAGCACTGAGGGTCCCGGCTGGGCTGAGAGGGAGGGTTTCCTGTACATTCCTGGGGAGAGGAAGGCTGTGATGTACAGAGAGCCACCCCTCTCTCACGCCCTTAACCCTGAGCTTAGGGACCTTGTCTTTCTCTAGAGACTGTGTCTGTGACCCCTGCCAACTCCTGTCAGTCATTCTGGGGGTGTCCTTTATTTTCATGAGCTCACCCCCATTCTCCCTCCCTCCCCTGGGCCTCTTCCCAGCTCAGCCTCTGCTCCAGGCCCCTCTCCTGTATCCCATCACCCCAAGGTGACCCTGGACCCAGAGCCCTGAGCAGACCCTCAGCACAGGGGCAGGGCGGGCTCCTCACCTGCCACCAGGATGTCCAGGGGGGCGCTGGGGGCCGACCACACAGAGGAGAGGCGGTGTCCACTGTAGCACCTGTACCGGCCCCCGTGGGTGCGGTTCACGTGGCCCAGGGGGAAGTTGGGGCTGAGCTGCCCATCGAGGCGCTGGGGAGGTGTGAGCCCCTCATCCTTGGTCAGCGCGAACCTGTCAAAGCCGGCCTCCGTGTGGCACTGGAGGGTCAGGCTGTGTCCAGGCAGCACCAGCGTGCCTGGCTGGGCCTTGAGTGCGGGCTCCTTGTACACACCTGGGAGGAGGGGATAGTGGCACCAGGGGCACCCCACATCGCCCACTGGGCTGCAGTGTGAGTCTCCCATGTCCCTTCCTGAGCTTCCCGCCTGTGGGTCTGTCCCCAAGAGGCCAGAGTCACTGACCCCATGAGCCCAGCTGAGTTCCCAGCTTAGATCAGGTCTTTGGGCCCAGGGAACAGATGGGGATGCACCCGGGTCTGTCCTCACCTGTGACCTCGATGTGCAGAGGGGCACTGGGCTGTGACCACACGTTGTGATAGGAGCTGCGAGAACCATAGCATCTGTAGGTGCCCCCGTGGGTTGTGTTCACGGGGCCCAGAGGAAAGATAGCCTGGGCCTGCAATCTCCCAGCATGCTTCCTCCATTCAGATTTCATGCTTTGGCGCGTGTCAGTCCTTCCCTCCTTCAGCAGATGGAAGAGGCCCAATGTGACCTTAGAGCTACAGGAGAGGGTCACGTTCTCTCCTGAGGCCACCACAGGGCCTGGCTGGGCTGAGAGGGAGGGTGCAATGTACTCTCCTGAGGGAGGAGAAAGGGTCTGTATTAAAGGACCATCACCCTCATGCCCCAGGTGTGTTCTATGAGGGGTGAGGTCCCCATGAGGCCACACGTTACTGCCTCTGCCTGTGACCCACAGTGGGGAGGGGACCCAGTGTCTCCTTTACCTGTTACCACCAGGAGCAGGGGGTCACTCCGCTCCGAGAGTATGTCCTCAGCGGTGTAATATGCACACTGGTACCGCCCTGCGATGTGTGAGGTGGTGGCTTCAATGAGGAAGCCGGCCTTGTTGCTGGAGTCCTGTGGGATCTTCGTGTCCAAGAGCTCAGAGCCCCTCTCTTTGTACAGAACGTAGGCACTAGCCTGCAGAGACCCCTGACACCAGATGGTCACCGAGCTCCCCTTGGTGACGATGGGGCCTGGGTCAGCCCAGATGGAGGGTTTGGGGACGTCTCCTGGA